TAATCGCATTTAATAAATCGCAATTACATTATTCGACCAAATAATAGAGTATTATGTATTTTTGCCATAATCGAGCAGCCCTAATACAATCTATTTAATCCGTGCCACAATTTGTGCAAATCTAGAAATTAAAATAGAAGCGAATGACATAGCAAAGTCAGGGGTGATGTGAGAATATTGACCACGTGTGCATTGCAATCTTTATGTTAACTGTTTTGGTTGGCAGTAAATAATCAACATATATTCTGGATCCCTAAGTGTTTCATTCATGCTAATGATGTAATGTCTCATGGCACTACCTCAAGCAGAAATCCGGCATGGTTTGGACCGACAACACACTGTTTTAGGGTCGCCTGCTCCAGCCGACTAAGGTGTGGATGGCTGCATTGGAAAAGGGAAAACAAACAAAAAGACAAATGAGACAATATTCAGGATAAGGCAATAGATCATTACATTAAACAAAGCAGCCTGCAGTTACAATGTTGACACACACTTACCTGTTAAAGCTGTATTTGTTGAGCTTCTCTGAGACTTCCCGGAGCCTGACAAAAAGATAAAGACTATATTAATAAAAACAATCGAGAACCGTTTAAGATGCAATGCAGATTAATGTATCCAATTTCAAAATGAAGTGCTGGAAGATGCTTCAAAACATGAACCACCAATTATATAAATAAGGATTATAACTAATGCTGTCAAAATTATCGCGTTAACGGCGGTAATTAATTTTTTGAATTAACTACGTTAAAAATATTTAACGCATTTAACGCATGAGCAGAATGGTCCACCCCATACATCCCACCAGTGGCAGCGCTGGGCTAGGCTACAGCCATACCAAGAAATGGCTTAGCCCCACCTTGAAAAATTATATTAAAGTAGGCAAAATAAAGTCCGCCAACTCGCGCTGAGTAAATTGCACAGACAGCAGTTAGTAAGATTGATTTCAGTTGTCACTTGTCTGGAAATACCGAAGACTAGAAACGGTTTTGAAATGTTTTGTCATGTAGTGGTCGTCTTCTCAATAGAACATCTTTGATAATGTCTTCTGGCCAATCAGAATCAAGATAACGGCGTGGTGTTGTTGCAGGAAGCCCTGACGGAGAATACTTTTGCGGTAGTGCATCTCTATATAGGCCTACATCGATACAACATTATGTGTTGATAGAAATCAACCCGTAATGAAATAAGACCCCACGGTTTGATGATTGATAGGTGTGTGGGCTGTCTTTCATTTTGACACACAGAACAATGTTATAATAAACATACATACATACTGTATGTTAAATGGATATATCCGCCTTCTTTCATTTATCTTTCCATTCCCACAACAATATACATAAAGAAATGGCATATTTTGGACATAGTTCGAATGGTGATTAATCATGATTAATTAATTTTTAAGCTGTGATTAATCTGATTAAAAATTGTAATCGTTTGACAGCCCTAATTATAACAAAAACTTTTTCTTTGAGTATGTACTCACTGCATCGATTTTCAGAAGACTAGTTTGTATTAGGGTTAGGGTTAAAATCCTAATATCGATTATTTGGGTCAATAATTGATATCACGATTATTAAAAACGATTATCCATTTACTTTGAAAACATCCATTTATTGAAAAAAAAATGTTGAACAGAATGTTTTTAACAGTTGATTACCCTGAACTTTAAGTAGAATTCAACTGAAAAACAAATTTAAAAAAAAGTTTAAATAAACAATCGTTTTATTTCGATTATGTTGTTTTCATAATCGTTACAAGCCAAAATCGTAATTGCGATTCAAATACGATTAATTGAGCAGCCCTAGTTTCTATGCAACAGTGGCTAAAATTACACACAAATAATTGTTATGATGTTGGCTATTACAGGGAGTTAAATGCAAATGCAGATTTCCCTGTTGTGATAGCATAACAATTTAACACGGAATGTATGTATAAGGCGATGAGTGACAGATTTCCTAAAATTACATTTAAAAAAAGGTGCAATATATCACCTTGGTAAGTTAAGCAATATATAAATCCAGAAAATAACTAACTTGAGACTAAAAAAACAACTGCCTCCTTACTACAAGCAGATCAAATGTCAAGCTTACAATACATTCAAGGTTTCAGGGAACTTTTAACTGCTCTTTCACTTTTAAAACAGTTTTCTAATTTGTTTGCCTGTAAGTTGGCAGTTGGATTTCATTATCCAATTAACTTGGTCATTGTTTCCACCCCTGATTTCCATTTTCTTCCACATTCAAATCCAATACACAGACAATCTGACAGTTTTGTGGGATTACAATCATACGAACATGCTTAACTACATATTAGTCTGAAAAGTATTATATTGCGATACTTGTCTTGTGTCTTCTCCAAAATAATACAGCAAATATCAACCTTTACAAGCTCTTTGGGCAATGATGTCATCTTGAAAAATATAGTTCTGTAAACTGTTCCTCCATACATGGCCATAACACAGTAAAAGAAGTACTAGGGCACCTGCCATGATGAATGACCTAACTCAAAAGGATGTTAACAAATGCCAATTGTCCATTATGGATTGAAGGAAAGTAGAAGGACATTCACAAATGTAAACATTAATAGCAGTGCAGTTACTGATCATGTATACTATTTAAACCAAATGTAACCTAGATATTAATACCAGTAGTTTACCTACATGTACTATGTTAAATCTAGCTCATAAGAACAAGAGACAAGCTAATAAAAGATGTGGCCCAAGAAAAAGCAGAATTTGAATGTAAATGTACTGCCTGTTTGTTAAATTTCAATTGTTCCACTGCTTGATAAAAAGTGCAAACTTTCTTTAAATGGTGCTACAAATGAATGGTGATGGAAGACATCTCCTCACAATATATAAGCACAGCGGAAAGCTATTTGCCATTCCACTGTGCTAGACTAATGTATGTAAGGAGACCTGAGGTCAAGCAAACCACTGGCATTTGGATGTGGAAATGTTCATGCCCAGCGAGCACTTAAAATGAGCCAAGTTGGACCAAGTATTTTTACTTCAGATAGAGGCACTTATCTGCTTTGACAACTGCAAGTTCCTTCATGGGGAAGAAAGCGGAGGGGGCCTCCCAGCAGCACATGGTGACTGTAGCATGCAATGGCATGCATGCCTGGGGATGAAACAGCCATGACCTCTTTAAGGGAACCAACAGTCCATACCATCGAGATACGAGTGACTTTACAATAACTAGAGTAACCAGCAGAATAACAGAGCTTTCCATGTCAGTCAGACCAAAGCTGGTGCCCAAGGGTTAAATAGTACACCAACCTTGCAAAAACATTCAAATACTCTGAGCCTTTACTTGTTCCTAATCTCAAGGTCATTCTAAAACACTTCTCAAACACTTTTTCTTTAAGTAGAACAGCTCATTAATCAGTTCAATCTCAATGGATGATATAAATAGGTTTATCATAAATCACATGTTCTGCCAAAATACAGGTCGCAAACAATGTCCTGGACCTCTCTTCCAAATACTAGTGTCTCATGATCACTTCAGTTTCTACATTTCCAAAAGAAACCCCATTAACTGCAATGTGATGGATGCCATCTGCATGTCACTCCTAAAAATATTGTGTGGAATTGAATTAACTGTTCGAGTATGCTGTAGGTAACAATGAAAATAAGAGAAAACTGTGTATGAACATGTTAACACTGAATACAACAATACTGATAATACACACTTCAAAAAGTATGTGCATGTCCCCGGCCCTTATAAAAGTAAATACCTGTATATTTGGATGTAATGTTGCTAACTCTTCTTCACTGCATATTTAAGATAATAATCTTGGTGCGCAATGTTAAAAACAGGAAAATACAATCATTGTTGCGGAGGAAGACAGCAAGTATTTGTTCCCCTTTAACCTTGCAAAGACACCCCTGCCCTAAAGACACTGAAACACAAATATTTGGCTTTGTCAAGAGCGTGGTAGCGAATTAGCTTTCTAGCATTAGCAGCTAGCTATCAGTTAGCTGACGTTGGCTACTTCATTGATCATGATAATCAACCAGACGCCCACAAAACAAACACTGACACATGTCAACAGAGTGTATTTATAATGTATAGAAGAAAACTCGAATATTTTCAACAGTTATGTGTTTTACGACCCTTATTTCCCTCTCTTTTCCCCATCCCCCAACCCGCATTGTCTATCTCAACTTTGACTGTGGGCCAATCCTTCCAGAGAATCAAGGAAACAGCCTGCTAGCTTTAGCTGCTCCACGATAGCCAGTTAACGGACTAGCATGTAGCTAGCGCTGGACCAACTGTTTGGGTAGCAGCAGGCTAACGAGGATTGTTCAAGATGCCGGGCCTTGTTCCAACCCTGGGGGGTCATTTCAATTATTTAAACCCGACTAAACATGCATGACAATGTCAACATCGTTCGTAAATACAACGTCGAACACTATATCCCATACCCCGCACGTAAATATTGATTTTATATTCTTCTTTTCCACGGCCTGCAACAAAATACCTGTCATTGAGCTGATCCTCAGTCCCGGGCAACGGGTGAACCACGAAGTGAATAGATGTCATGGGGTCAATCCAAAATCACGCACAGGCGTGTGAAAGATGTAGAAATTGTTATTCGTTCGATTACTGTATATATGTGGATTCATAGGAATCGTCTAATAGCGAAAAACCTCGAGTTTAGATCCCAGCCTCCTCACCCACATGCCGCCATCTTAACTCTAGCAAGCTTCTTCTCTGTGTGTTGATTAGTGCACATGCAACCACTGCGCTGGTTGGACCCCGAGCACAAACAGGAAATGTGTTAAATTGGAAGGGATTGGCCTCCAGAAGAAAGGCAAGACGACTGTAATTATAAATACTACACTTTCACACTCAAAAGTCTTTGTTCTTACACAGTTCAGCCTAGTATATGGGTTTAGTTGCATTTTTTTAAGCCTCTGTAGCATTTTCAGGTCCATTGCTGTACTCTAAAGGTCAGAGAAAGGGTTATGTATTGCTAGATTACTGCTTTACAGGCAAGGAAAATACAATCCAAAAAGCTAAGACATTAAGATGAATCTTTTTGGGTTTCTAGACAAATAATGTAGCTATTAATGCATTAAAAAACCAGTGTAATACATACTTACTTTAATCAAATAACCCATAGTTTCATGTAAATTGGCTTAAAAAACAGTCCAATTAAATATCTGATTACAATACAGACCTAACTTGTGCAGTTAAGAAATAAACAGAGCCTACTGAGTCGATGTCATGACTTGTTAACATGAGGGATGTTAACATGTCATGACACAATAATCATCCTTGTGACCATCAAAGACTTATTATGTCACCAAATCTTAAGGGAACAACATGGTTATACTTGGCATATTGTTACCATTATTCTCACAATTGACATTCATGTGGGACCATTAAATAAGAGCTGCTATTCTCATATTAGAATTGTATCGAAAACAGTTTTTTTTGCTCACAAATAGCCCTACCATGGTTTGTTAAGATAATGAAAACAGATAATAGTGGACAAAACATTTAAATGTAAAAGGAAAGATTATGTCATCTTTGGTTGCTTTTGTCATCTACAGCCTAATCCAGTAAACGCTGTTGTCCTTTTACACCAGCAGATGGCAGGATTGACCTTTCACAATGAGACTTGAATCCAGAAAGCTAAGCAGAGAGTGGAGTGCTAGTTTGTCTCTTTCATACTCACAGAGTGGTCATGTGTATATGACATGTACATATAAAGTTATGTAATGTCTGTATAATTCTAATAAAACCTTTAACACCCGTAAAATTAGTTGTTGAATAAATTCCCTCAACAAGAAATGAAACTTGATGTCAGTATAATAAATGTCAAGATAATAGGAAATTATACTTGACTAATTTGACTGCTCCAGGTCAGGTTGATCATTATGTCATCTGCCAAGTTGATCTGTTTAATTTCCAATTTAGAAAAAGCTAAAATAAGTGTTATTATTCAAAATGATCTATACACTACTTGAACTGCTTTTAACCAGTCTAGTCTGCAGTCCACATCCTTAGGACCTGAACTGAATAGAAGTTGAATTAAGTATTAGGTGCACATCCAGAATACACAATGTCACTTTTCTTAATGACATTAATAGGTTTGTATTAAATAATGTATTCATATTTTCTTTATTTACTTACTTACACAATACAATCTTTGCATTTAAGTGTTCTTAGCACATATCATTGCATCAACATATGTTAAGTTAAATTAATGGGCAATAAGGCAGATATCATTATTTGGAGAAAACAATTTATATTTTCATTTGAAACTTTGGTCTAACTTTACATATGCCACATGTCATGTAACTAGCTGAAACACATTTTTAGTTTTTTTTTCCCGGATGTAGGCTAGTTTGAGTTCAACACAGAGGTGAATGAAACCAGTTCCACTGCCCTGCATAAAAAACCTGACTATTCTTAAGAGTGAAGTCAAACAAAAAAATGAAATTCCTGGAGCTATTTTTAGGTGGTGCATCGGGTTATCAAATGACCTCTGTCCTTGTTAAATATGGGTACAAAGAGTCCTAGCCAGGAGCACATAATCATTCGGGCAAAGTGAGCAGGTTTGCAGAACCTTCTAACAATCTAGTACAACGATTGTTGAACTGTTGGTTAGCATTTACGACCCAAAGTAAAACTATTACCACTGATAACTTATTGAACACCTTATCCATTCTTAGATCAGCTGAGAAGCACCAGCTCCTGTCAGTCAGGACACTACCAGGAGGATAAGATATACCCGTGAAGTAACTCGATCACTGGCTGGAGAGTAAAGACTTTTAAATAACTCCTGTTACTGCTGCCTGGGACATATCTGTGCAGGTCCAGGGCAGGACTCACCATGAGGGGAAACTGCCTGTTAACACTGACCAGGTCAGACCAGGCCTCAGGCTGCAGTCACACATGCTGCACAGCTTTAAAGACATTGTGCTGGCCTAAAATGAGCTGTTCCTGGTTGCTTTCTTCTAACATAGAACAGTCCTTGTTGGCCTAGTCTGACTTGTGTTTAGGAAGCCATAATGTCTGGGATAATTCTGCCAATAGATTCCCACAAAATCTGTTTGTCCATTACCCAGTACCATGAGGATGTAAAGATCTGCTCAATAGAGTATGGCTATTGTAACGGGCCATGCATCACACCTTAAAACTATAGGGCAACCTGATTGGCCCACGACCAGGAATATACACAGGAGTTGCCATGTGCTCTTTTGTGCCATGAGCGCTCACTGTAATATCGGGAGCTTGATAACCCCATCATCATAAAAAGGACCATGATGGACAATATCATTATTGCAGATGACATTTCATAATTTAGTTTGCCACAACACATTATCTATAAAGTACATGCAATATAAAGTATTATAACCTAAGTTTAAAGCTGTACAAATCAATTATATTAAAATGACATGTTTTTAGGTTACCAGAAACATGACTCAGAACTGTCAATGAGCAATTGTTAGCACTTTTATGGGGTGATAATAGGTACATTTTGTGTTTTAATCCTGTTCTGCAACCCCCAAGTGATAAACCCCTAAATAAATGAAGGAATTTACTTTGAGTTTTTGGTCATGTCTTTGATCAAGCCAAAGCCATTTGACATTTTAACAAGTGAATTAAAGCAGTTCAAGGAGTACTCCAGCAACTCAGTTTGCCACTTACATAAGGTTGGGGGATTCAAAGTGCCATGAACCTAAATGATCACTAATGGCAAGCAGGGGGAGACTCCTCTGGTTGCAGAAAAGTCAGATAAAAAAAAAAAAAAATGTCTCAAAATTAATAGAAAAAAAACATTTTGGATTATTTTTGATGGAGTCATAAAAAGGCTTAGGGCCCACTTTTCCTTTAAAATATAATTTTTTCACAATTCTCTGTACTACACACAATAAATATTAATGGGGTAGCCTGCAAATTTAGTAGTGGGTAAATTGCCTACAGTCAAGATCGAAAATTAAATATTTAAAGAGACAAAAAATAGAGAAAATAGTAATTTCCCTCGCACTCAGACTCACTAGTACTACATTCCTAAATATGTTCTTGAGGAACAACACACAGTGCTTGTTTCTGTGTGTGTATTGCTCCATTGTGTGTCTAGAGCCGGCCTTTTGTTCTGGCTCTGTGCTGTGCAGGAGGGTGGAGACAGCTGACACTCACCTAATCCCCAGCAGGGCAGCCCGAGCCCCTCCTGACCTCTTTCACCCAGAGGATGATAAGCTTAATCATTGAAACAGTAATCAATCTGAAACAGAAAAAAACGTTTTATTTCCTGAAAATGTCTCGTTAGTTCAACTTTTTTTATTTGGAGCCGGTTGATTCTTCATGAGAAATGGATTGTCAAAGGGATTTAAAGTGGACCCATCATGCTATTTGTAGGCATAGGTCTCAGATATATAAAAATATATAAAAAACATGTCTATGAAGTGTTTTGCTCAAAATACCAAACAGATCACCCATTCTAGCCATGCCTCGTATCCCTCTATTTCACTTACTATTTCAAAAGTGCTGATTTGGGGTATAAAGCTTTAAAAAACTAAAATTTGATAAAAGAATTGAGGGGGCTGAGCTCATGTGGGAGATTCTACCGGCAGATTCTGCGGGGATGAAACGCCATATCATGGATTATCAAGGATTATTTCTGAAACAGTATGGAGCTCAAAGGCTTTCTCTAATGCTGGTTCAAGGTTCTTTATTTGTCATACGAACAGTTATGTTGATGAAAATCTTAGGTCACAGGCTTCTTCAACAGTGCAACAAAATAATACAGAAAAACCGAAAAACTATAGTGCAAGTACATATTAAAAAGTAAATACGAAAAGAAAAATAGTTTAAAAAAAGTGAAATAGTGAAATAAGCGGTTATACCACAAGGTGGGTTCCTTTTTATTTCCTGCTTCTTCACACACATGCTCTATCCAGTACAGGTTAGCTCTGAGTGTTAGCAATGCTAATGTATACATGCACCGACCATATTACGTCCAAAACAGTCGGGCATTGTTTCTGATAGCGACGTTTCTGATAGGGCCGTGGGTAAAGTCATAGTACAGGTACAACAAAATGAATCCATCCAACATCCAACAAAAAACAGCGGTTAACTGACCTGCATGAGATAATATCCTTTACAGCCCATATTTCAAGACAACATTAGAATATGTCTGAAGACACTCTGATAATGATAACACATTTGTATTTGACACAACACTTGAGGTGAAAGTGAGATAGTAGTAGTAGTAGTAGTAGTAGTAGTAGTAGTAGTATTTAAACTTTATTGTGATGCTTAGAGCATGACATAAAATCTGGAGGACCTATATTAAGAAAGTACCGTTTGATTTCTTCTCTTTAAAATCATACAAGATGTGGGTCAAGGGTGAAATTAGTCATCCAAGGCAGTAGTGTGTGTTTCTGTGTGTGCGTGTTAGTGTGTATTGAAAGGGTGGGGGTGATGGGAAGTGTGACCATCAGGAATGTTTTTCACACACCCATGCGCTTGTGTACCACGCTGTCTTCACGGTGCCGTCAGCCCCTGATCACGCACCGAGGCTCTCTCCCATTGGTTGGCGCTAAGCACACCTTTGCGCCCTATTGGGCAAGACGTTAAGCCACGCCCATCTTTTCCCCACCGTCTTTGAAACGAAGAATGGTGATGAGTCTGAAAAAGAAACTGGAAGACATCAGTCACAATTTTAGTTTAAAGTGTTCACACGACGCGG